ACCATACTCTTGCATTAGGACTTTAAGTTTATTGGTTTGTGCAACGGTCATATTATCTATCCTGTTAATAGCTAAGGATTTAGGCCTGTTAATAGCACCAATTATTCTCTCTGTCACCTCGTTGGCTTCCAAGATATTGTTTAAACGAGTATTGAGCGCACTCGTTTTATCGTCGTCATTTATTATAGTATGGATATTTTTCATTGCTTCGTCACGCAGGAAATCCTGCAGGTCGCTCTTCTCGTTATTTTTCTTATAGATCTTAAAATTTAATGATGGAATTTCTTGCGGTAGATGTACATTCTGTGTATCCGTCGTAATGGGGGAATCTTCAATTGTAATTTTCTCATTCGATACAATATCTTTATCGGGCTCACAATTTTCGACAGGTGAAACATCCAAACACTCAACGTTCAAAAGATCTTTAGGATTGCTCTGATCGGAAATGTCTGTCGCAGCTACATCCAACAAGCCGTTCTCCGCAAAGTTGCTATTTTCATCTTTGCTCGACACAGATTCTGCTTCGGACATATTTTTATTTTGTTCGTCAATATCGACGACTATATTTTCATCAGAACTTAATGTAGTAGCATTTTCCGACATTTCTGTATCGAGTTTCTTTACAGATTTTAAAAATTCTACTCGTCTTTCGAAATGACTCATTCGCGCCTGTCGCCAAATGGATCGTGCACGCTTGCTCTCTATATCAGCAGTTAATTTATCATAATACTTTACAAGATTTTCCCTGAAACAAACAAAATAATTAATATCATAAATATTTAAAATTAAAATCAATGACGATCATTCTCCAGTGACTTTCATTTAAATTTAAAATATTAAATCTCACCTCTGGGCTTGCTGTTGTTCCCGCATTTTTTCCTGCTCTCGATTAATCTTTTCGAGCAACAATTTGTCAGCTAACATTTCATTCTCTTTTTCCTTTTCTTTAATCAAAGCGCTCGCTTCCGCCTGTTGCTTCAATTCTTGCAATAATTCCCGTTTATTTTGCGCGGCTTTCATGCTAAGTTCTTTGCGTTGCTCTGAACAAAAACATCATGGAAACTGTTACATACGTACATCTTTAATTTAGAACTCGATTAAATCGAAAACAAAGTATATCTTACTATCCAGCCTCAATAACGTTTCTTGTTGTGCGCGTATCACGAGCTCAGCTGTTTCTCTCTCGGCTTTCTTTTCATCCTGAATTGCGGATAAAAGAGATACGATTGGTCCCAATGCCGCCTCGCCTTTACGTTCGTATTCCTGACACCTTAACAATTGTTCTCGCAGCATAGACACACTCAAGCAGACCCTCACTTCCGGTTGAGCGTTGAGAGACACATTACATACAGGATTCTAAAATGCAAACATTAAAACATCTTTTTATTGATTCACAATTAAATTTATAAAAACAAATTTCAGTAATGAACAGTAATAACCTTGGGACTGCAAATTTTTAAGAGTCGTAACGTCTTCCCACATTGCAATATCGACTCCGACAATTCAGATAAGAAACCAGGTACCGATTCGGTATCGATTGCGAAACTCTCCGTCCAAAACTTGCGTCCTCTCTTTCGCAGATAGTGAGACCGTGCTTGAATCATAAATTCTCCATAAATGTCATCATACGTTCCCTCGAACAACCAATTTTGCAACAACCTACAAGAATAAGAAGAATTCATAAGAAGAATTTACAAGAATTAGTAAATATTTATCCAATTTAATATTCTTTGCCTTTTTGTGAATATAAAAAAAAAGACATGACGTTTTCTCACCGAAAGTAGACTTCACAGCATGATTTTAATATGGAATAAAACACTAATGCAATCTTTGGATTGGTGACCTTGGTCACCTCTTTGTAAATGTGTGTCAAAATTCCACTGCCACCGCCTAAAATGTATTGATTTGTGCTACAGCCGCATAGTTTTGCGACTTCCACGATTAAACGCGCCAGCGGATGAATCTGTTTCAATAGACTCAACAATCCAGGAAATTTATGTCTGCTAAGAACCCTTTGCAATGCCGAACGATAGTAAAGGAGTAGCTCTTTGATATTGGCGCACATTGCCTACAATTGAATCACATATAATTAAAAAATATGAATAGACAGTATCATAAAAATTCGTACAATTATATGTACCTTGAATATGAGACCGTGCTGTTGCAATTTACCCGTTTGTGGATCGGGCATAACAAGGCGCGACAAATACTTGAAACTGTTGCCCCAAGAAATCGCTTCTTGACAAGTAATGTTCAGTGACTCGAAACTTATGCCATGCACTGTAATGTTCTCCTCCAATTTGAATCCTGTCTGAAATAAGACTATCATGACATATAAAACTCGCAACGCGCGCTAACGTAGTTCATTAAATCCACGTACCACAGTATCATATTTAAAAGAGTCTGAGTCTATACCAAATAACAACAATTTGACGTCTGATAAAAATTTCTCAGACGAAACCTCCGACATTAGGGATATGGAATTCATTACCTATAACATAAAGAGAACAATTTTTGCATGATATATTTACACAGGCATTATCGTCTTTACCTTCTTTGGCAGCAGTGATAAAATATTTATTTGTCTTATCCTCGCTAAGTGCAGCGCGGTCTCTGGCAGATCAGTGACAAATAATGACTGTTTGGAAAACTCCGATGCTCCGAGAGATTCCCACGTTCGTAATTTGGAGACACAATCATCAGAAAACAATATCTCTTTCCATATTAAATCAATGTTATTTGCAACGCTTTTTGATTTGTTCATAAAACTACGATCGGATTTTTCTGACGACACAGCACAGAAACGATTCTGAATTTGATTATCTACAGACTTTATCCATTCACAGGGTAAAGTTATATTTGACATAAACCTTGGTGTAGATAAATATATTTTATTTGTTTGTTCAACCTGATAAAAAAAATATAATTCATGTATTATAAACAAATGAATAAAAAAATATGTATAAAACTTACCATAATATGTGTTGAGAAAGGAGCAAGTATGTTACATTGTTTTGCTGTATTTTCAGTACAGCTCGATATGCAGGGAGACATTTCAATAGTGTTATTATATCTAAAATAATAAAAAAAAACTAAAGATATTTGTTTACAGGAAATAAAGCCTAGCATCAATTGTGATCATACCTAATTGTTTGGATACCTAGGATGGCTTTTGATACACAATGGTCTTCGAAAGATACTCTGCTAACAAAATTGGTCGCTGTATCTTGCCTGGTACAGGTTCTGCGTATGCCCAGCATCGCCTCAAACTTTTCTGGCAAGATAAAGGATTCCATGGGATATGTTTGAAACATTGGTACACCATTCGTAGATGTAACATCCTCAGGCAAGAAAGGATTGGTCTTACCATAGTGAAATACATCCTTAACAAAATTTGATTCACATTAGCTTTCACATCAATTCAAGAAAATTGATTGTACGATAAAACAGGCGAAATAAGTACCAATGCAGTTCCTGTATCAGTCTGAAAATTTTTCAGTTCTATCAACAATTGTAAGGTATAAATTACAGTGTCTGTGTTATCCTCCTCGGAATACAACTCGCTTATCAAACTTTCTAACTTTGTCGCCTCTGACACGCGTTTCAGGGCTAGCCTGAGAACGAAGGCATACTTCAAGATCTCCACTAGAGGATCAATATCAGAGTTTACTGCATTTCCTGTAATTATGATCAACAAAGCATTATTTGAAAAAAAAAAAAAAAAATACATGTATTATTTCTTTGTCTTTATTTATTCTTGTTCCGTTGATTTAAGACATACAAATGTACCTCGATTGTACGTCTTATTGTTACTCTTATTTAACAATATCTCATAAGCCATCGAGCGAAAGTCCTTCACTATTTTGACATCGCTCTTGGGCGGCATGTAGGAACTCCCATTCTCCGAGCGATTCCTCTGCAACGTGTGCCTGACCAGCCGCGTGATGAGCTCGTAGATGTTAGCGTCGCCCCGTTCTAGATCCATGATCGAAATACTCCCTCAACCGATTGTTGATTAATCGTTGCGACGAGTCGCGGGAGACAGCGATTATTCTCATAGTGCCATAGTCAGCCATAACAACGCGGCTCGCCCCGCGTGGAGATGGAGGATTCTGGAATTGCGAGGACCCGGAAGACCTCTAGTGGCGAGTGTGAAACGGCTGATCGTATAAAAAATGAGTGAGCGAGAGAAAGAGAGATGTATACCGATATAGTCTGTTTTCTGTTCCTGCACTAGAACTCTCTTTCTCGCTTCCGACAAATATATCAAACGTATGAACCTTTCTCACTTTAAGTTCGAAAAGTGTACAGCTAGCTCACGTCACAGAGAAACAGACCTGTAATCACGGAGACGTTGGAAGATGTAATCACCGGCGACGTAGCAACATAAAATACGTCGTCGTTAAACGAAAAATTCGGGACTGAAACTTCAATCGAGCTGATGACATTCTTCTCGATCGAATTTGGAGCTTGACGTTGGGGGGGGGGGGGGGGGAAATTAAAATACGTGGAGATGTAAATGGGGGGGAAAAAAATGAAGGAGCGACAATGGAAAATGACGATGTAGTATTAATTTTATTGCGTTATTATACATATGCACACATACATGCACATCGTGCCATTGAAGGAAATGTGTGTATGTGTATATGTAGCGCGCACGTATACCTGTTTCGCATATCGATCTTTCGCGAGACGCACACGTGACACTAGAGTCCGCGAACATTATCTTATTATTTGCTGCGTGTGTACACGTATCTCACACACGTATGTACGTATATGTATAATAATAGTGACATACGTCGCTCGTGATACGTATGCATCACACTGTACAGCGTGTAATCCTTCTAGCAGTATCATCCTCCAAAAACCACCCTTTGTTGTGCTCATGTACGTCCGACTGATAGAAAAATAAACGTTTCAGATAGAATGCTCGCTCTCGCGAAAGGTGCGAAAAATAAATTTCGTTTTTCCTTCCCTTTTTTCTTTCTTTTTTTTTCTTCTTTTGCCCCTTTATTGCACCACGCTCTTTTCCGATCTCCATATAACGCATCTACGTTCAATCCTGCTGCCCCTCCTTTTGCTCCACCGTAAATCTAACGCTACTATGTGTCGTTTTTTCCTGTTTTTTTTTTGTTTAATGTTTATTTTTATCTTGCCTAACGCCGATGTTCTAGGGGAATCGGCGAGTTTAAGATTAACTACGATTGCACGAGAAAAGTAAACCGATCGCAGGAGGAATCAATAATCGAGTTTGGCATCATTATCGTTGATCGCATTATTATCATTTTTTCCTCTTGTTTTACAAAACTCTTTCGCTTTCGTTTTACCTTTATCTATTTTTTTTTTCTTTTAATTTGAAACAGCTTCTCTTATATTAATTAAAAATGAGACTATTATAAATGATTAGATTAGGTGAACCATTTCATTGCGGCAAACAATGAACATATTCGAAGAGCGGCGAGAACTCGGAATGAAAAAAAAAATTCAAAAAAATCCTTGTCGGAAGAGATATTCTCTTCTCCCCTGTCTTCCCCTATTCCCCGCCGGATCAGCGAGATGCGCACGTTCTCCCTATAGGAGAAGTATTATGTTTATACAATATGTTCCCGTATATAGCCGCTTAATCAGCTCGAATTAGATTCTACTAAACATAAAATCGCGTCCTTACATTAATTATACGATGTAAAACATACATTATAAGGCTCTATTTTTTTTGTTTCCTCTGGCTCTGGTAACAATCTCTAACTGAGACCACATCGTTAACGTTACAAAAGCTCGTCGGTATTATCCGCCCGTTCTTTATCAGCTTTCTCATTGTCATATTGATATTCTGCTTATTTTTGTCCTCAGATAGAATGTTCGATTGAGCATCTTCAAAAGAGCGCTAATTATAATAATCTATTATTTTTCAGCTCTCTTATCACTTTGCCTATCGTTAATCTTCATTAGTCGCGATGACGACGCCAAGCTGGTGCAAGCGATAATACGAAAACAGAAATCGCGCGAATGAAATGGATGTCGGGTCAGCGAATTCAGCTATGGATAAATCGCATTTTCGCTCCATTCAATGGATTACACTGGATAACACTCTCGTTTTCTCTTCTCTTCTTTGTCTATTTAATATATCGGCTAAACGGCTGAATGGCACACGTTACCGCATCACATTATTGCAATTTGATGTGTCAGCGCAACAGCTGCTGTTACTATTTTGGATGACCTTCGATCAAATAAGCTCCATATACATATATACTATATCTTCTGCCGAAGTTAACAAGTCATAAAGAGAAAGCATTTAATAAAGTATATATATATCTTATGTACATTGACTGTTGTTGAGAAAATCATGTTAAGAACATGAAGTCTAGGATAGGAAAAGTGTCTTCTGCTCGTTCTTTCTCTCAGTGGTTGATTTTCTTTTGCAGGCTCGTACACACAACAGTTTCTCGCAATTCTCGCGAGAACATAGAACTGATGCTCGATCTCGATTATGTGCAGTCTAAAGCAGGTTATGCGGTTAAAATAAAATGAAGTTTGCAGTTGTGTGTGTGTGTGTGTGTGTGTGTGTGTTGTGGTCGACGACAGGCAAATAATGTAAATGTAATGTTCTACGTAACAGGATGCTAGATATATCAGTTCAATGATCATCCATTTCGTGAATGCGTTGACGTTTAGATTGCGATGGCTGATGTTCAGGAGGCTCGGGGCTCTCGACGATCGCAAGCGGGGCCGGTGAACCTGGCGAGCTATCTGATTCTTCATGGGTGCGTTTGCTAACCCCCCCAATGCCAGCATCAGGGCTAATAAAATTTCCACTGTTACGAACAGAAAATTCGCACAAAATTGTAAATTATGTATATCAATAAAATACCATGCGAATTAAGAATGTAATTGTGTACCTGTAATTATAGGTTGTTTGTACAATAACAGGAGCTGGACTATATTGGCCAGCTGGAGATAAAGAATGGTCCTCTACAGCATTCCCAGGCACCAAATATTTTTCTGTTTCAAGAAACGAGCCATAAAGTATTTCTCAAAAAGAAGAAATTTTTTTTAGATTACAAGACAAAAACAATTACCTTCTCTTCCTGTGGCATCGCCACTGACACCATTTGTTACCACTGTTTGCATCAGACGTCCCTTATGAGTTGTCTGGGACGATGTATACGGATGTCCGGGAGAACCGGGTGCTGACTGACTTGTCGCGAGTTGTCCAGCCGGAGATGGGACCGAACTGTCCGGATAAGATTCGGGTCCAGGGGAAGCCTCTCTGCTTAGACACTCAGGCGTAATTAATCCACTGATTCCTACATGAGATGGAGATGCTGGAGCACTTCTGTCGATTGGAGCATAAATGGTGTTGAATTAATATTAAATAAATTATCAATCGATATATACGATATAGACAACATAAAGCTTTTTTCAAAATTACCTTGACGATAGTGTTCCAAAGGGCGCACGGAAACATGGTACACCACGTTGCCGTCTCCGTCTAAACGCTTGCTCAATAAGTTTATTCTCCGATTGAGGATCAATCTTCCAGAAAGAACCCTTCCCTGGCTCTTCTTGACTCCTGGGCACTTTGATAAAATAACGATTCAACGACAAATTATGTCGTATAGAATTCTGCCAACCCTTATCTGCAGTTCTATAATACGGATAGTGCTTGGTGATGTATGAATAGATGCCTGATAAGGTCAGCTGTTTATCGTGCGCCGAGGCGATTGCCTGGACAATCAGTTGCGCATAGGAGTACGGTGGTTTCGAGTCATCTTTTGGTGGACTGTAATGTGGTGCTGTACCATTCGGTCCTGAACTGTTACCTCGATAACGAGCATCAGCACCAGGCTCTGGGCTTATTTGCCTGCTGGAGCTCTGTCCACCTTCATGCCTCTCCAAGCTGTGCCTATCCAAAGTGGAATTCTGCGAATCGTTTGCTACGGAAGCGGCATACGCCGCAACCATTTGCAAATCCGCCGAAATGTTTCTCCTACCCTGACCAGCACGCGGACTTGCCGGACACGAATTAGCGGCGCTTATCGTTCCTGTGGGTGACGGGAAAGGACTGCTATATCCGGCGTCCGGTATGTTTATCCGCAGAGGAGGTAGTGGTGCCCGCTGCTTTGGCGGAGAGGGCACGCGAATGTTACTCTGTTCCTGCTCGTCAACAAGTGACTGGAACATCAGCTTTATCGTTGTACTTGGAAATCTGAATGTACATCTGAAACATCATTAAAGTCAATTGTAGTTATAAGATATTCAAAGCAGTATTATCATTAATTACATGAATTCAATGATAATAAATACATTAACTCTTCATCAGTCATGTAAAATTTTACGTCAACAACTTGGATCTTTGAGTTTTAATGCAGATTTTTATATTGTTCCAAAGTGTATGAAAATCTAAAAAAGTTTTTGCATACTTGTGAAAAAAACTTTAACAAGTTCTTACTATCTATAAAACATTGTACTTCTTCTTTTTTACAGATTTAAATTTATCCACAAGAATTCATAATCAAAATTGACTATGTTTTCGAAGTCCAAATTGATCAGGGAGTGAAGGATTAATAATAATGATAAATTAAAAAATAAATTTATATCGTCTGAAAAAGTACATCCCTTCATATTTCAATATAGTTCTAAATTGTTACATGACTTATAATTATTGAATATCAATAAGAATCCAAAATCTCTGTTTGATCACGTTTTTATAAATACCTAGCTTGTTCTTTTCAGCTAAACTTATATTGTTCCTTTTTTCTTTTTCTCTTCATGTTGGTCAAAAAAGAACGAAACAAACGGCGTAACAAATTGAACTGAAAAGAACAGATCTAAAGACTAGTTGTTTCTGTTACAAGAATAATTCTTCACTCTTAATGTTCGTCCATTTTTACATAATCATCTTTCATAATCGTCAGGGTCATGGCTACCTTTATCTATTATCTAAGGACTAAGAAGAAAGAGATGACAAATGAAAGTTTTTTTTATGAGCTTCATTTATAAAGAAGATAAAATTAAAGGTAACATAAATATTCCAAGACGATTAAATCTTTGATCCTGCCATAACTCGCAGTATAGCAACGCAAGTTACAGCATGGCTAAGAAAAAGCAACACCCGCTGGTGTTTAATCTCAGAAGAGAAAGCCGGCGGTCGCGCGTGTGAAACAATAATAAATAAATAAATAAATAAATAACGACCGCGAGGAGAGTGGAGACTCACGTCTTTGGCAGTTGATAGACAGGGGCGCCTTTGCGTTGAAATACCCCGTCGACGAATACGCCGTTCTTGCCGTTGCAAACCATATAGAAAAATGGATGCTCGTAGAAGATCTCGAGGTGCCGGCGCGAGATAAAGCTGGAGTGGCCCATGTTAACGTCGACCTCACCCTTGCTGCTGTTGCGGCCGATCGTGATGCGTCGTTGCCTAACCATGTACTCGAACTCGCGGGCCTCGAGCCGCGCTATCGGCGCCCCGCTCGACTCTGGATTCCACTGCATCTTCGACGGGCTGGCCGGCGCCGACTTCAGTGCCAATAGGGCCCACGCGTCGCTCTCCTGGGTACGAGAGTACGTAGACATAGCACCGAGAGCGAACGTGCCGTGATGGATAAGCTGAGAGCAGGCACGGAAAAGAGAGCAAGACGACTGAGACGGGTGGAGAGAGGAGCGGGGGAGGGACAGAGAGAGAGAGAGAGAGAGAGAGAGAGAGAGAGAGAGGAGGAGCGGAACGAAAGAGTGTGTGAAAGAGAGAGAGAGACAGCGCGCGAAGGAGACGGAGATGGCGCAAGACGAGACTCGAGAGAGCAACACGGATAGATAGCTACTAGCTCGAAAAAGAGAGATAAATTCACGGACGTTCGCGCTGGTTCGCGCGATTCAGATACGCTAGATAAATAGATAAAACGCAACGGCGGAACGAACGGATGCGAGTCGAGATAAACCGGCAAAACTCAAGGAATACAGGCGTCCCTCAAGGCGGTATACAAGTATACAGATGACGAAAATTAGACGGAGAGGGTGTGTGTACTGTGTGCGCGCCGTGATAGCGGAGAGGGGTGACGTTCGCGAACGGGATGGAAAGAGAGGGGGATGAAGAAAAACGACGGGCAAGAAAATCGTAGCGCCCGGTCGAAGGAGAGATTTCAGCGGGCAAGACAAAATCGGGCGCGCGCGCTTCTAATAAACGCAAGACAAAAGAGAAACAGAAAGAAAAAAGAGAGAGAGAACATGCCACGAAACCGCGTATGACACTCACACGCGAGAGTATACTCGCGCGAAATATGTGAAATATGGCCGGCTCTTCTCAAACTCTCCTTTCTCCGCGCCGAGTTCGTATCGTGTATATATAT